TCAGTCTATGTGTGAGTGCACTGAAGGTTGTGAGTTTTATTCTCACCAAGGACAATCATTTGTGTGATGAACATAGAAGTTTGTTCTGTGTTTTGTGTTTGTTTGTATTTACATTTTAATTTTAGAGAGAATGCTAATTTAGATGATTTTAATATGTATAAAGATGTAACTGTTAATAATCTTGTATTGTATGAAATATTTGCTAGAACTCTTATACATTGTTTTGAGCTATAATATATATATATATATATATAAATAATTTTGGATTTCTGTGCAGTTTCCCCACAACAGTATACTGTTAACGTTCGTATTTCATCAATACTAATTTTATATCTATGGCCATCTCATGAAATAAATTATTTACAGATGTCATCCATGAATGAAGCTTGTGAAGTTTGCTGGGACAAAGCTCGAGATTTGAGCTTACATGTACCAGAAGAACCACAAGAAAAATCCCAGCATATTGTGTTGCCCAATATAAGAATTTTCGCTTTCATGCAATATATACACTATAAGTATCCCGAGAGAAAATAGATGGTTTAGAGAGAATAAACCCAATCTTGCTCCATGCTAAAATTAAGTCCCGCCATTTTTCTACTAAAATTTTGTATTTATAGTTGCAGAAACAAACATGATTGGGCGGAACGAAATCAGAAGTTATTGCTTTAACTGCATTTTAGGTTTAAGAGCAGTATTACCCGGCCTGTCCCCTTCTTAGATGAAGTTTTCTTAAGAATTCATTAATTATAAGTACAAGAAAATAAATGAACTTAAAAAAACAAAATATTTTTTATTTACCTACACTCAAAACCCCATCAGAACTTTATCATTATCAAATGTTGCAGTCCGCTGCTGAATGTAGGTATATATTTACAACGCTGAGTAGATATCGCTCCTCATCTCAATCTACCTATTTAATGGCAGTACCACGCTGTAGCTATAGTTGTAGCACGAATGACTGCTCGACCGGAGAAGAACCACGCTCTCACAGAATACCAGTGTAAAATAGCAATTTAATACTGCTGTGTTTCGTATGGTGAGTGTAGAGATCCGGAGACCCTTTTTTACTGGAAACGAGGCATTCGATCCTAGTCTTCAGAGGTGACAACGCATCTGAATTTTGATTCTAAATCGAGGATAAATGTAGATGTCCATGGGCCACAGCATCCACTAACCATCGGGTGGACTGTCTGTTCGATTGTCACCCTTGTTCTATAAAAAAAAAACGGTTAGTAAAGCACTACAGAGTAGCGAAAAGCAATATAGAATATTTACTTTATCACAAAAACAACGTTTATTTACCTATATGTAACATAGGTACACTAGGAGAGGTTTTGGCCGTCGACGGATTGTTGGACAATTTGTCGCTCCTGTTTTGTTGCTTGAATCATGGTTTGAAGTAGATTTTGATTCGTAAAAGTGATGCGATTTTGTGAATTGTCTGCGCGTGTGAACTATTAGAGAAAACGACGAAACAAGCGGAAAAAAATATACAAAAACGAAGATTACGAAAGAAATGATAGATACGAGGGCTAGAACCCAAAGCCGTTAAGCTAGTTAAATAAAAAAAATTGTAACACTAGTTTATAACATTATATATTAGTCTATGGTCTATGTAAATAATCTTAAAAATTAAAACTGGTTATAACATTTATCTCCCAAGTTCTATAAATCTAAGAATTTAAAAGGGATTTATCTATCCTACTATCTACCAATTAAAGCCAAAAAATTTCCCAAACACGAAACTTTATTAGCGGTACGAAACTCCCATACAAGCCTGCCATTCTCCTTTCATTAAAAATTCGTAAAGAATATTTTCATTTCACCAAAGAATATTTGAAGAATTGTAAATTTATACGCTACAATCACTTGATTATGTTAGTTTTAGTAGGTAAAATTGACGTTAAAGTTACAGCCTATATAGATCCCATTGCTGGGCACAGGCATTCCCTCATTACTGAGAGAGTACTAAGGCAAAGAAGTGTTCGCCGCACTGCCCCAATGCGTGTTGGTGAGCATCTTGTCTTCAAAATATTTCTTTCTTTTTTCTTATACATGTAGGTTTCCAAATGATTGTGTGTGTTTTCTTTCACCGCATAGCACGTGGTAAATCATCAGTTAAAAATTAAAAATTTCATTGGTGCCGACGGGGCTCAAACGCGGTTAGCTCACATACTAAGAAATTTAAAGCGAGCATTAGCCGTCTTAGCTACCATGGCTCTAGTCTAGTAGTCGTAAAAATTTATTGATACTTGTTATCTGTAAAGAGGAGTTCTATCTTTTTTCTTTACGATCGTTTCTTACATTCAGGAAAAATTTCTTTTACAGTTAGCATTAGTTTTATGATGATCCAATGATTACATGCATGTTATACCGACTATTAAAAATATATATGTTCGGCAACTTTAGACAAGTTAGAAGTAAAACTATAGAAGCTTTACCGTTCGTAAGGGTGTGGACCAATATTTTGCTTAAAGTATATTATATATTTTATTGCGTCCCCGATTTAATGCGAAAAAAAGGATGCAAAGGGCGGACTTATTGCCTAAAGACATTCTTTACCAGATGTATTCCTAAAATTTAACTGTATAAAATAATACAGTAAAGTCCAAGTCAGTCAAGCAGACCCAGTCATTTCAAAGGCCCTTGCCACACATTCGTTAAGTGGCGTGCGAAGAAAAGAGGAATGGAGGCAGAGACGTAATGTGGCCACAATACTCGTCGTGCCCGTAAGTAATGCTCCTCGTCACGCCCGTTGCTTCCTATTTGGTCGGTTTTTTTGGGCGCGAGTCAAAGGACTGGCAATATGAGAGCAAGTGGCCGATCACATAATCGCGCAAACGAAGTTCAAATCGAACGTTCGTTACGGAAACGTCATTCTATTGTGATGAATATATTTCTTCCACCATATCCGTTGGTGGCGACGACCACCTGTATTATTTTATAACATTGATATAAATGGCTACACTAAATATGCATGTATCGTGCATGCTGCCACAGTTCAACAACAACCATTGTGGTGCAAACGCGAGCAACCTAGTGCGAAGCGTCTCAATTAATTGCGCGAGTAGAGCAGTGTGTAGGCAGAGAGAGCAACATCGCGTAGTGTGGCGGAGCCATTAGAGGTGACAACGCATCTGCATTTTAATTCTTACTTCGTAACAGACGTGATTGTCTGCGTCACAGAATTAACATGTCATCAGGTGGGCTATGTAGTCAAATAATGTGATCTTCACTATAAAAAATACGCCTGTCTCACATTTAAGTACACACTTTTTCTCATTTTTGTAACGATGGGCCACCACGCTTTTGTAGCACGTGTTTTATACATATTAGAGAGTGTTGTACAACCTCACCTAAAAGCTCTACTCGTAGATGGTATTATCACACTGTCTTAACCCAACAATATCCTGAAAACACTACCTTGAAAACACTCATGTTATCGGAATATTTTAATTTTCATTCATACAAAGATACTCTGAGAAATCAGTACATAAAATTACTCCGCCAGGAACGAACACTGGTGTTTGGTATATTATGATATTTATTGTTTATATAAGAAATATAGTTGCATAGGGACACCCTATGCTACTTCATTTTTTACCATAATCAACATAATTAGTTGTGTGGTAGAGCCAAGCTGCAGCTTACTTTGTGCTTGTAACATAAACAGAATGGGATAACAGAGGCAGTGCTACTCTTTCACAGAATATCAACGTATAAAAGCAGATAAATGCTGCTGTGTTTCGTATAGTAAGTGAAGAAAACCGGATACCCATTTTACTGGAAACGAGGCATTCCACTTTTATCCTCAGGGCTGGAAACACATCTGCATTCTGGTTCTCCGTGCTAATGGATGTGAATGTCTATAGGACACAGCATTTACTTACCATCAGGAGGAGTGTTTGCTTGTTCTATCACTCTTATTTTATAAAAAAAACACGCCTTTACTCATATTAAAAGAAGAAGAAAATATTAATTATTTCCAAAAACTGAAGACAAAAGCTAGCGGAACAAGATTTAAACAATACGCTAAAACACAGGTAATCATAGGATCTTCGAACATTTCCTCGCTGCCTTAAGGCTTAATTAGCTTCTAAAGTGCGTAAGTGCGTGACATTTGATACGCCCTCATTACAATATCAGCATCTCAAAATTATTGCTATTAATAATCAACTTCTGAAGATGCTTTTCTTAGGGATAATGTGTGACTTCGGAACGATTACGTTACATTGACCGAAGTTTAGAACATCATTCATGACATTTCGTAAGTTAGAAGATAGTAAGATTTTTTTTTCGCGGGCAGGTGCTCAAAAAGTTAACACACGTTTCTGTATAATTAGTGTAAAAAGTATTTTTCTAGCATAATTTCAAGGTTAATCTTAATTAGATGCCTATTTAATTTCATATTGTGTGGACAACAAATATTCAATAGATATTCAGTGGTATATCAAAGATATCCCTCCATTAATCATAAGAAATTCTATTACTGGCTTCAATAATTTAGTAAAAATATAAGGTGCTCTGCGCAAACCGAACGGAAGGCAATTGAATTCAAAAGGCGCATCATTATATTTAAAGCGAAGGTATTTTTGTGAGATTTATGTATGAGTACAAGAAAATGGGAGTCATTCAAATCTATGGAAGCCATATAACAGTTTTTGGTTATCAATTTTGATGCTATTCGGTAAATCCTCCCTCTTGAAATGTCACGTTTCTATGAACTTATTTAAGCATTTAAAATTAAATGTAAATCTATTTTCTCCGTTCAGTTTTGGCACAAAAAATACACTGGATATGAATTCGCTTTCTTTATGTGTGCGATGGAATATTGCACAAATATCCAGAAGGGTTTTAATTGACTTGTTAAAATTATGGGCTTCGTGGGATGTTTCTGGGTAAACATTAGGATCACTAGTAAGATACGGCGTACTTTTAAATGGTATCCGATGACCCTTCACCCGAGATAGAATAGTTTTGTCTGAAGTTATTTCAGCCTATTAATGGGCAAAGTACTGATGTCGTCCCGAAAATGATACCTCGTCTATATCCGGCGAAGCATCGTCCACTTGATTGACGGCGAGCGGCGTGAAGTGCTGGTTTCCTGCTGCGGTGCGTCCCGCGGGCGCGGCGTTGGCCGCTTCCCTCGCCTTGTGTTGTAAATTTGCGGCTGCAATTTGTTGCCTACCTTGCGATGTTGGTTTAGGTAGTTTAAATGGCCAATACTTCTGGTGGTTCTGAAAGTGGAGTGAGTAAGTATTAATAGACGAAATTATGAAAACGACTATCGCAAAGAATGCGATTTTGTTTGAACTAAAGTGACGAGTCTCGTTTTATAGAGGTCTCTGTCAGGGCTGCTTTAACCCCCGAGTTTAGAGCTGGTGCAATCAGGAGGTCACAGTTGGAGGGTATAAGATAAGTCTTCAAAAGAATTTCTTAAACGTCTTTTGCCAACCCATTTAGCAAGTATGTCTTGCCACAGATTGGCTATATCCTTATGGATTGCTGGACCCATTGGGGTCGCGGTCTTAGGTGCATCACCAAGTAAAACCAGTATGTCTTCGTCTCATACTGGTTTTACTTGGTGATGCATACGTCCACCGCCAGCTGAAGTTCCAGGTGTTGGAGAAATCGGTCTTTCGTCAGCCTGCAATTGCAGTGACTGTGGTGCTATTCTCGGTTTGGGAACGTCAGTAGTAGAGAACCAGTTCCTGAAAAACCATTTCTTGACATAATGTGCATATGTAGGTGAACCTCCCCATTAACCAGAAGAGGAAACTCCGCGCATGACACTGATGACAAAGCGTGGCACGTGTTCAGCGGATGCAGCGGTGAATCTGCAGCAAACAGTTCTTATTAAAATGTTTGTAATAACAATGTGACAGTATCAGCCCAGCATGCATCACTTTTTTCATGACAGAGGTAACCCAAATACGGTATCTCGCATCACAACTTCATATTTTTTATTTAGAGCAATAATGATGGTAGTAGCCCAAATTTAGCAGTACTCATCAATGAATTGAATCTAAATTATAAAACTTACCGCTTAATTCCTCCACAAACAAAGATTCTCCCGTATTGGTAACTTTGTTTAAGTGCTTTTGCAGTTTAAATTTTTTTTTCTTGATTTCGTCTTAACTTTTTTTCTGTTTTTTTTTCTTCTCATTTTTGCCGAAAATAAGTCAACTTTTGTATAATAAAGCTAGAGAGACGTGCAAAGCCTTGAGCACGGAGATACAGAATGACTCGAGTAGAAACGCGTGACCCGAGCTAGGCAAAGGTAGTGTTGCCAGCATTGGTAGGGATACCATACAAAACAATAGTTATAAAAATCCGTGCAAGCATGGAGGTGCTACTAAAATACGTTAACAATAAATCGCAAAGAATGAAGCCGTGAAATATAATTTAATGTGTATCCATCATCTGCCGGCGACTGTGTCAATATCATATTATTTACTTACATAAAATGACTAACCTTATCAATATTTCCGAAACTCAAAAAACAATAGAAGCTACAATTCCAAAAAGAATGGATGACTTTGAGCATCAACTTGACACTGCCTCGACCAAACCAGAAAATCTTGCAAATTAATAAAGAATTTAATGCTTTTCGCGACTATGTTCAGGATATCTTCAAGCTAATGCAACAGCATATTTACGAGATGAGCCAGTTAGCCGTTTCATTGGTAATGAGACACCGAAAGAAATACCTCATCCTTAACGGAGTACCTGAAAAGACTGATGAGATACTGCTGGTATTGTTACCACAATATTAAAAAACTACTTTGGTCTCAACGACATTACAGCCTCGTCCTTCAAGGTTGTATAAGCCCCGGGCGACTTTGATATTGCGATTGGCGACCATCTTAGTGACGTAGTCGAATTGTCAGTACCGTTCGCAAGGTTAGCCAGCGCTTACGCGTATAGAGTACCTCCAACCACGTGTTTTCATAGCTTTTTATTTTCGTTATCCTGTCTTATTTTTGTTGTTAATTTTTGTTATTGTTATCATACTTATTCTGGTACAATAAGTAAGCAAGTAATTAACAGCCGTGCTCGTGAAATGATTATTAAAGTGGACAATTATTTTGTATAGGAGAAAGGAAATATTTCTAATTAAATACCTATAAATATATGTATATAATCTTAATACATATAAATTACGTGTCACGTTGTTTATACGCGATGGACTCCTAAACTACTTAACCGATTTTAATCAAATTTGCACACTGTGTGGTCCAACTTGAGAGATAACGTTTTTTTCCACGTACAACCTCTCTGTGGAATAGTTTACCACCGGCGATTTTTCCGGACCGATACGACCTGGGGACCTTCAAGAAAAGAGCTTACTCCTTTCTAAAGGGCCGGCAACGCACCCGCAATTCTCCTGGTGTTGCGGTTGATCATGGGCGGCGGTAGTCACTTAACATCAGGTGAGCCGCATGCTCGTTTGCCCCCTCTTCTATAAAAAAAATTAGCAGAAAAACACCCCGAAAATATTGAATTTAGACCTAATGAACGCAATGGCAGACATTTAACATCTTCAATGTGGTACAGGACGTAGGCTAATTGCGAAAGGGTTAACAGATCTTTGCTAATATACTAGTATTTTAAGACAAAAAATGCATTTTTGTGCATGATGCAAGTTTAACCAGAAACCGTCCTCTACTGCCACATCTGCATTGTTACACAGGGTTTATTAATTGGAAAAAGTTTCAGGGAGATTAACCGAACACAAAGCAACTCTAATGCTGATAAAGTAGAAAACACGGGTACAATAAATGAAATCATTCCAGGGTATTTAAAGAGAAGAGAAGGTTAAGGCATTGAAAGAGTAATTCATTTAGAGAAAGAAAAATGGAGACAGATCCTGAGATTTTTGTGGATGCTGTATTGTATCTATCCATAAACCGTGGGTCCCATGAAACTCTTGGCGTTCTCGTCACACAATGTCCTCAGTCTAGTCAAGGTAACTTCTTGAACTTAATTTCCCTGCTCGCCAATCATAACTCAACTTTTAAGTTTCAATTAGAATACTTAAAAAAGGGACAAGTATCATACTTATAAAAGAAAATACAGAATGATATAATTGATGTAATGACAAAAGCAGTTAGAAATAGCATTTTGAATAACATCAAAGAAGCCAAATACATAAGCTGACCGAGTTGGTACCGTACTTGTCTCACTCCATAAATCTTGTAGGTGTTCATTCTGCCACATCATGCCGGGAAGCTATTAACCTATTTGGACTGATTCAAAAAGTATATTGCTTTTTTGTTGGCTTCATTACTAGGTAGGACATCATGAAAAAATACATTAAAATAAATTTAAAGGAAGTACTCGAACGAGATGGTGGGCGAAACGTGTTGCTGTGAATGCCCTATTAAATATTTTTCCAGAAATAGCAGAAGCCTTAGAAGTTCAACAAATTTTTATGTTCCAAAAGCTAAGTACGAGGCAGGTCATCTTTTAATTGCTATAATTTTTTTAAAATTTATGCTCGTTTGCCCCTTCTTCTATAAAAAAAAAAAAAGATAGGCTAGTTTTTTTTGCCCATGAGTAACCCACAATTTTTTTGCGACTTTCAGGATTTTTAATAGGACATGACAAATGGTCGTCGAAATTGGCAGAACAAAGTCTGCCTGGCAAGCTAGTGTATATATATAATTTACGTGTCACGTTGTTTTACCGCGATGGACTCCTAAACTACTCAACCGATTTTAATAAAATTTGCACACCGTGTGCAGTTTGGTCACACCTGAGAGATAGGATAGTTTTTTGCCCATGAGTGACCCACAATTTTTTTGCGAATATAAGGATTTTTAATAGGACATGACAAAGGATCGTCGAAAAGGGCAGAAAAACGTCTGCCTTGCAAGCTAGTATAATATAAATACCTATAACCCAAGGTTGTTAACAGTTTCCACCAGAGGTGGTAACACCTCACACGAAAAGAAGATTAAAGTTTTTGTTGCCTGTACTTTTTGCGGTGGGTGACGTCACGCAGCTGTTATTGTGACAAGGTTCCATTGCAATATCAACGTGCGGGACTTATACACAGACTTGGATTGGCGTCTACGGGCCAAAGAAGCCTGTATTTTTTAGACTTCCATAATTATTTTACTGATAAACTAATTGCAATATAAGTTGTTTATATAACTGAAGATACAATTTATTTAGACCCTATTGTCATTCTTCCATGGGCTTAATTTTATATACACGATTCATTTAACACTTTTTATTCTGTATTTTTATTATAGACTAACATAACACTCGATATCGAAAAGTGCGGTTCGAAAGGAAAGCTCGTATGATGTGCACGAGCCTATCGGGCACGTTTAGTTTGTACAGCGTGTAAATCAAGCCTTCGTGCCAGACCTTGTCAAATGCTTTCGCGACATCGAAGAAGAAGGCTCCCGTGTTTCGAGCCTTTTTCCTTATTGGGTAGTGGTTGAAGTCAGATAGAATGTATTCCGTTAGGCGATGAATCTGGTGTTCCAACTGTTCGTCTGGGAGGAGTCCGTTAGATTCTGTGTAATGACGGAGACGCTTATGAATAATGCGCTCGTATAATTTGCCCAATGTGTTGAGCAGGCTAATGGGTCTGTAACTAGAGGGACGATTACGCGGTTTACCCGGTTTTGGGATCCCTATTACGTCTGCTTCTTTCCAGATGTCCGGGAAGGAGCAGTTCGTGAGAAAGGTGTTGTATTCCTACAAGGAGGCAAATAAGTGGCGCCGAAAGGGATTTGATCACCTTGTTGCTGATGCCATCTGGCCCAGGGGCTGATCTATTCTTAAGGCTTTTGATGGTTTCGGTGACTTCATCTACTGTCACAGGATCGAGTGGTTCACCCGCTGGTGGCAGGTTCACAGACTTACGTTCTACTTCCGTTTCTACCTCTAGTAGGTGAGTGGGATCTATTGGTGCAGTGGATGGCGTGCACTGGTACTCTAGACTGTCGGCTAGGCATTCGGCATTTTAGAGATCGTCTAGGGCGAGATCGGGGTGGTCCAGCCTCACAAGAGGCGGCATCGGTGAGGATTTGTCGGCTTTAAGAGCTCTCGTTAGTAGAGAAGGCGTCTTGAGATGGTTCGATACCTTCTAAGAGGTTATCCCAGCTATCGTTTCTAAACTCGGCTACTCGTTGTTTAATCTCGCTTTGTAGAGAACGTACCCGAAGTTTATTGGCTTCCCTGCGGTAGCGGTCGTATGTTTTAAGCGCGGAATTCTTCGCTCTAATCAGCCGTCGAACATCCGCCGGAAGTTCCGTGTATTGATCGCTCGACACACGAAACTTACGGGAGATTTTTCCCTCTACAGAGGTTTTTGCGAATCATTGGTAAAACTTTAATGACTTTATATCAGTATTCATGTAATCTATATTGAATAAAAATTATTTCGTACTATTCTATTCTATATATTCTTCCGCTTCATAATAGTCCACTAAGCCTCCCCCATGGAGGGAGGATTAGTCTTAATTACCACGATTTAGAGATGTTTTGGCGATTCCAGTACTAGTCGTTTCGCCCCATTGACGCTGTTTTCCGGCAGATTTTACACCTGACGTAAACGATGTGGTTATACCGCTAATTTTTGTAAGCCAAAAATATTTGGCTTATCCCATAGTACCCTCTTACGACTCTAAGAATAAGAAATAGGATGATGACTTTTCGTATGCCACTACCACGTGGTAAAGTATTTGTAATTATTTTATAAAAAAAGGTTCGAAAGAGCATGCGGCTCACCTTATGGTAAACATCGGCAGCCGCCCATAAACAACTGCAACGTCAGGGGAATTACGGGTGCGTTGCCGGCATTTTAAATAGTAGTGCATTGGGTCTGTTTATTTTGACTTTAAGTATGAAATTTTTTGACGACTCCGTAGCGAAGTGGCTTAGCAATGAGTTACAGCGTTAAGGGGCGCGGATTCGAATCCCGCACGGAACAAGTATTTGTATAGCCTACAAGTAATTGTTCCTGGTCTGGATGTTTGTCTTTGTGAAAATTATGTATGTAAACTGCCCCCACGATACAGGAAAAAATTATAGTGTGGGGGTAACGTTTTTAAAAAAAAAGGAAAAAAAAAGAAAAAGAAATCGCCTTCAGAATACAGGAGCATTTCACAATATCGAGTAATATCGTGCTCTAAAGAAGCAGAAAATGATGTTCTCTTTGTATTAAATTACACGTACACGTACACGATTGAATTATTTGTGCGATAATAGTAAATTTCTTTACTTAATTGAAATAGCACAAAGTCATAAGCAGTTTGACCGCAAGCCCAAGTGATTGTAAAGTTTCAATATATTTTATACCATAATATGATTAACATACTATGTTTTTCATCTGGTGATAAAAAGCCTAGTATTTTACCGTATCGTATACTATACATTGTTTTTTATTTATTTGGATATGTGACAATTTTAATTAATTTATAAAGTATCATTAATTTTATGCTCCTAAAACATAAATTTTTATATTCGGAAATAGTTGCAATGAGTCCAATTTATCAAGTTTAAAAACCATTATATTATCCAAGATGACTTTACACAATATTTAACGATCATACAAGACTACAAAATGAATGAGAATGGCATACCTCAATATTACATAACATTACAGTCACGTGATTTCAAGTTGATTCCGTTCATTTTTATAGTTATTTGATCGAGAATGACTATCGAAAACAACTTGACAACAGAATCCAGTGG